ATATATATATATCTATAAAAGTGAGTAAAACGTATAATGTAGGCATCACCTGAATAATAAAAATATCCAAAAACAAGTATAGGTTTTAATCACGAAAAAAATAACTGATCTTCAAATTTCGTAAGTAAATGATCACTGATAAAAAAAATTTCCAGCATTACGTCTGTCTCTAAAAATAGTACAACTTTGTTCTCGGAAGTTCTTTTTTGTGCAACAAAAAAATAGTGTTGTTTACGTGACTCCATTCAGCTGGTACGCCCTGTATTTATGATGTTTAAAAAGAATTCAAGAGTTTACAGTATCCGAAACGTAAAATTTCTAAAACAAGTTTTATTTTATTGCGGAGGTACTTTGGGTCGCTGAAGACGAAAATTAAGATCATTTTTGAACAATTTTCGAGATATTCGTAAAAAACAATCGTTACTAACAATGAGAAGACACAACTTGAAAATCTTTTCTCTTCCCTTGAGATTCGATTTATCGAAGTTCATATTTCTAACATTCAAAAGTACATATTTGTTCAATGTTCAATCCAAGTGAAATACTTTACTCAAACACAATATAAATTTGTTTTGTGAAAGTGAAAATTATTTTTTATTATTTTTCTGATGTCGTAAGAAATTGCATCTTTATTTTAAATTTTGTTTGTTCAGTCAGCGAAGAACGTAGTTTTCCTTTAGTTTTCATTCAACAATTTCACTAGAAAAATAAGGTTAAGATATGTATACTTACCAAAGATGTACTCGTTCTTTTGGGTAAATCAGTTGCTCCAAAAAAGTTAAGAAATATGGTAATGTATGTGCTTTGTTACGTACTAAAATTGTTATTAAAATTGTCGGCTTTTTTAAATCTTCTCCGGAAATTTCAAAAAACACGATAGAAGATATCAAGATAACGCAAACAAAAATCGCTAATTTCATCTTCGTTTTTAAATTCGTTAGTATTTCCTTCTATCATTTAGTTATTCGCGATAAAAAATACAATAAGAAATATAATTATTAAGAGCGTTGCATATACGTTTACTCCTGCCTTCACCATGATATTTATTATCAGTTTTTACCACCCACGTCTGTGCCCACGTGAGAAGCACATAGTCGGTAAAGAGGTAAACTGCGTTCATTTTCTATCCAGATATTGGTATCTTTGCAAAAGGAGATATGAACGTTCAAACAATAAATTAATGAGTAAAGAGCAATATTTGGAGTAAGAACTCAAAAATAAAAGTACAAATATTGGAAAAGTTTATTTATACCATACTTTCTCTTTTCTACTTATATTTTTTCTTTTTCTTTATATTGGCATAATTGTATGATATAAAAACAATACTTACAAGTAATTTTTTCCTTAATAGTTTTCCATGTTGTTGAAAACAATAGAAATAGTTTCAGTAGTAAATAATTTCAACAGTCGAATCATGAGTGAAATATTTTGGCGTGAAAATATTTTGAAAAATATATCTCTTTTTTTATAAAATTATTTTATTTCCTTGTTCACTCATCCTCCTTTTGTAAGGATTCTGTTGTTTCGTTGCTTTTTTCTTTACCTTTTTGTCGTGCTGCATAACCAAGACTTGATTTATCAAATTCTAACGGCATAATACCCAAGTCACCGCTATACCTGTTTTTAGCTACCTACAAATATACATCATTAGACAATTAATTTGCTTTACTAGATATATTTTACTTCTATTCACATACTTGCAAATATTTTTTGCCTCGAACACTAGTGAGTCTGTTATCCTGAATAATCAGGACATTATCTGCCTCCTGAGTTGCTTTTGCACTTCCAAAAATTGAGGAAGTTGTTAGTTCTTCGCTAAAACGTTCTTTTCGTGGATGTATTATCATGGTTACGTGACAATTATACACGGTAGAAAAATTCCTAAATCTCGCTATTATTTCATCTTGTTTCCAAAATCTAGGTTCCCAAAATTTTATTATTCTAACTGAATGAAAAATATATTTGATATGGATGTTATTCTGTAATACCTCTCCATATGTTTCCAATCACTACTTATTCCCAGCATAAATTGAACATTATCAATTATAACATGTGCTATGTCGTGTACATAGGTTGCATGTTCAACTGCCTGTAACAAAAAGTACCTTTGAATTTAAACAAAAGAAAACTAATTTACGCAATTATGTTTGTACTCACGTCCATTACTATTTTAATATTTTGTTGGCCATGAAATGTCATAAAATAAATTGGTAACTTTTCAAAAGCATCTGCATATGAATCAAACTTTCCAAGATTTTCATCCAAAGGTACACCTACCATCTGTTGCAGCATTGTCCTTGCTAATCGTGTGTTCCTTATTTCAAAGCTACCCCATAAAGTATTAACACCTTGCATTATTAAATCTAAGGAATATTCGCTCACAAATGTTGTTTTACCACATCCTGGTAAAAATAGAAGATTCGTTCACAGAATATATTATCGTTAAAATTTATAAATATTGCATTATACATGTACTACCAGTTGGTCCAGTCAATACAGTGAATTCACCTCTTCTATGTCCTTTCAATAAACGATTTAAAGCTGGATATCGTTTCCATTTTACTCCCTGTACTTTATCGTTATTTTGTAAATCACTTAATACTTCTTCTCTAAGTTCTTGAAAAGTAATTATATTTTTATGCCATACAGGCTGAGCATTTCGAAGAATAGTATTAAAGTCATAATTATTTTCAACAGCTAACTTTGGTCGAGGTTGCGAGTCTATCGGTCTAATAAAGAAACATCGTTTTTCATTAAGTTTTTTTGCAAAGTGCCTAGCAGTATACCAACTTGTTTCATCATTCCCAAACCATAAAATTAATTTTTTGAAGGATTCCATGTATGGTAACAACTGTTGTGGTAGATATTTTAAATTGTATGGAAGACATATAATTAGATTTGCAGATTTCTTTGATATTATAGCTAGCAAATCATCTATCATTTCCACAACTACGACAGTATCATCAATTTTACTACGAGGTCGCTTATATTCGATACATCCACTAACGTCAAAAGCAGGAACTGTTTGTTCTCTCTGTGGATTGGTTAAAAGCGATTTATATCCAACTATAGAATTGTTCAATCCTACTAATGGAAAATACAAGACATTCCTGGTTTTGTTGTAGAAACAATTTAGCTCAGACATATCTTTTTGCGAAATATTCTGTAAAAAAATTATTTAAAATATCGTTACAATTAGAGACATTTGATAATTCATTTTATTTTATTACAGGCAATGAAAAATTGTTGAGCAAATTTTCATATTCTTCAACAGATAGATCCTTGATGCTTTGACAATCACTTGTCACGCATTTCCAGGTTTCTTCAAAATTTTCTTTTAAGCAACATTTCGTTTTCAACATATTCAGTTCTTCAAGATCTTTATTTGTCTTCTTCGATAAAAATTTCTTTAACATATCCCAGGAACCTGCAGACTTGCATTTATCACACATAAAAAATCCTACAATCAAAATTCTTTAACTATCTGAGATTTTACGAAATAAAATTAATTTTACAACTTTGAAATTCATATACCTGTTGTTTTATTTACATAAAGCTTTGATTTCTTTTTTATATCACTACATATAGGGCAATCTGTTATCATACATGTGTATCCTTCCAAAACATTTGAACATTGTTGCTTGAGAAGTTGTTTTAAATCTGAGAGAGATACTGTCAACATAGACTCCTCAGTCTTTGCATGCAAACAATGTTTATTGTAATGTGTAATATATTGTCTTTTTCTGGCACATATTCGCAACAATAACTTGAACATTTTAAGCATACAAAAATAACTGTTTATTAAATGTTTCTCTCAATAGAAAATAAAAGATTGTCATCTAGCTGTTTTTTGCATTATATTCATCTTAAAATTTGAGATTTGTATTTATTAAGAATAAAGATACATATTGTACAAAATACTTTATTAAATTACCAATATCAATAAAAATAAGTGAAAATTTTGAATTTAATTAATACAACTCATTTAATATTTAGATAAACTGTAACTTCAATATTCAGTATTTTCAAAATTTTACAATATCTTATTTTTGTCTTACTTAATTTTCTTTATATTTATGATGTTTTATTTATTATATTCAATTCGGTGAAATTACATATATCATTCGCGAATTCACTGTTTATTGCAAGGCAATGTATGATACAAATACACGTGTTCGCTCAAGCACAGACGAGGTATATGAATAGACCAAGCATCTAATGTATTTTTTCGGCCACGATTTCGGGGCACCTGAAACATGCCTCGTTACCATTTTCGTGTCACATCCTGTCATACCGATTCAGCAAGTTCTTCAAAAATATGAACAGTGTTGCCAGTTTGTTTCAAGAATTATTCATTGAATTGAACGTAATGGTACTTCATCGATGAAGGAATATAATGATTTAAGATTGATGAAAATTAGGATCAAGAATTTAGTGTATATTTGATTATTAACATCTATTTAAAAGTATTAGAAAAAATTGATTAACTGAAAATATTTCTACAAATATTGTTTCTAATAAAGAAGCACATTATGTGTTATAAATTATTTCTTGCAAAATTCATCCGTTTCGAAATTTCGAAGTTTAATTTATTTTTTTAAACGACACATGCCCATACACATTTTCTTTTATATAGTACGACGTATTATTTATTAAGACGAACTCACTGAGTTGTATTTTCGACGGCCGAAATCATTTATTGTTACAAGTTATTAATAAAAATAATATAAAGTATGAGTGACTTAATGATACATATGTTAGTATTAGATTAGTATCGTATAATATAAAAACTATTAAATTATTGATTAGTATAATAGAAAAATTGTTTTTAGAAATTCTAAAAAAAAATTATCGATTGTACCAGATTACCGACGATCAAACACATTAGATTAACCTTCAGCGGTAGGGAGGCTCATTATCAATTAATCTTTCGATATATACAACAATCAAATGTTAGAAACTTGAAAAAAAGTTATCAACTGTTCTCGATCACTGACGACCGAAATATTAGATTGACCTTCAGTGGTACGGAGACTCATTACCAACTGAACTTCCGTCGTGTGCACATCGACTCAGCGGAGCACCAGGGACATCGTGGGATGCGTGCGCTTAGTTTTAAGTTGCGTGCGTTTAGTTTTAGTTAATCTCTGTAAATTCATTGTAAACGTATTCTGTATCAAAGACAGGTTTATTGAACTTGGGACAGAATTAGAAATCCCTCATCTCCTCTCTTTTTTCGTTCGTTGTTGCTATTGTTACTTTGTTCATTGTACTAGAGTCGAGTTCCCAAGTTTCCTAGTCAGTGTGCCAAATCGGGGAACTGCAGTCTCGTCCGAAAGGACGAGGTGAGATTCTTGTAGTCTAGCGTGCTTGGTAATCCGACTCAGCGGTTCTTCGGAAT